TACCAGTGTTTTGATTATGCCTCTTTTTTGCTGTGGGTGGTGGTTGGAGTTTTTGTCTAGGTACTGGTCTGTTTGTGTGGGTTTTCTGTAGACCTTTTGTCCCAATAGGAGGTCAGTTTGTGTATGACCATTACATCTAAGAAACGGAGTTGGCCCTCTGTTTCTTTTTTCATGGTGAATTGTATATTTGGGTGGATGCTTCTTTAAGGGAAAGCCATGTCAACAGATCAACACAAATCCATTGAAGACCAAAGCTAGGTGGGAGAACAGGACAGACCTATGAGATTTGTTACATTTACACACATAGCTTGTTATATTTTTGGCATTTATTTTTATTATTCATTTTATTTAAAACATTTCTACCCCGTCTTTCTCTTTAAGGACTCAAAGTGGCTTACATCATTCAAAGACAATATTTAAAGCCAAAAACAACAAGTATACAAATACTAAAAAAGGACGAAAAAAGTGTCATCGTAAATGATGGTAAACAGAAGCAACATCAAAACACATTCATAGCAGCAAGGCACGATAATCCATGTAAGAACCCCACTCAGGCAGTGGAGAATTAAGGGAAAGCTTGCTTGAAGAGAATAGTGGTTGGCTTTATCGATTTGTATAACCTCCTATTTGCCTTGCATGTTTGCTTAGAAGGGGCCTTGTATGCTTTGTAGAAAGTGCATATTAGCACATTTTTAGGAGCTTTCCCTGTAGAATCATCTGTAGTTTCCTGAGACTGCACCATATGTGCAACTATGTTCCTGACAGGAGCAACTGAATGGTTGGTCTGAGTAATGCAAGCTTTATGGCAAGTTTCTTACTATTAGCAAAAGAAAGAAAGGAGAGTCCTTCAGGGGGAAAACAGCTGGTATTTAGGAACATCAGTAACACTACAGTGGAATACAGCTTCTACATGGGCCACTGTGTTTACCATTCTGAGCTGAGAAATCAATGTTTTTGGCTTGTTGTACAGCCTTTATTTTCTTTCCTGGCTATTCTGTTTGGTAGAAGTAACATGTATAGTCAAGAAGAATGTCAAGATTTGTAATCAAAGCTTGGTTGTGACCAGAACAGGTGAGTCCATTTAAATTTTGGGTCAAGCCTCCTCCCAATTGACACATGATCTGCCCCTATATCAGCAAATGATTATGTGTACCTTCTCATGACCTCTACTAATTCCTCCTTGCTATAACAGGGCACACATTTCTTCTTGCTAAATAACAAGGCTTATATTTCATTTCCACTGAAATCTTTAGATAACACTGAGGAAGTGGTTGTGGTTCCCCACCCCAGAAATAGCATTGGAATCCCTTCAAAATGTAACATTTGACTGAGGATTCATCTTGACTAGCAAATGGCCCTCACATATTTCTCATGTAATATTTACAATTTCTTGCACTTAAAGACTTGCACAGCTTGTGAGAACATAAAGCCCACCAGCTATTGGGAAGTACCATCTGGAAGTGCAAAACAGGGAGGGGATATATAGAGCATCTGCCAGGCCATAGTATATGGCTGGTGGCTATCGTCTCCATGATAGATCAGAAGGCATGCAAGTCTGCTCTACACAGTTATCAAGCAGGTACAATTTCCTGGCTCATTTCCAAACGTCTTTTATGTGCCAAAAGTGATGTTGAAGTGATGTTGAAGTGATGTGCCAAAAGTGATGTTGAATCACTCTTCTGCCAACTATAAAAATATGCACTGCAGATAATAAGTGTGTAGCATAGAAAGGGAAATTATAATAATTTTGATATCTCCTGTTGCTTTTTAAGGTCTCAGTAAAAGTTGACACCATCATAAAATCACTCACCTATTCAAAA